TAAACGGATGAGTTATAAAAAAAATTCACCCCCCTCACAGTTGTCATGAAGGGCAAAATTAGCTATATAGACCAAAATAATGTTTTGAACCAGGCTGTAAACATGTTTTTTTCTGCTGTAAAGTTGGGCATTTTAACATGGGGAGTCTATGGGATTGACTCCCTTTTGCAGCCAGCCTCTGGCGGCCAGTCGATGAATTACAGTTTAAGTCACTTCCTTGTTGGCTTCACGAGAGAGGGAGGGAGGTTGCCGCTTGATTGAGACGCAGGCTCACAATAGCTCAGTCACCTCTGCACTACACTTCCCATCATCCCTTCTGCTACTCACCTGCACTCCCTCTGTAATCACACACACCTGAGACTGATTACCACCACTCAGCCACCCTACTTCAGCAAACACCTCACCCTCAGTCAATGTCTGGTCTCGTTTGAATAAAGACGCTAACCTGTGTTTCAAGTTTATGCTCGCTGTGTTTTCCTCAAGTGCCTGTTCTCAGTGTCTCCAAGTCTTCCCATCGTGAGTACGTATTTCATGTGTGATACTTACCTCAATACTCACCGGCATTAACCCGAGGTGTGTGTTCACTCATCACTCCTATGTTCACGATGTCCTCCACACCTGCAAGGAAGGTAATATCAGTTATATATCATCTCTTCACTGAACTTTATGGAATAATGTTTACTCGCCTGCTCTGATTTGCCTTGCTTGCTGCAAATAACTTGTGAACTGAGTTCCGTCTCTCAGTCTTTTTCGTTACAATGGGCTTTTGGTTAAATTGAATGACGGATGTGAACACTATTTTGGTTATTACCATACAAAACTTGCTTGAATTGAACATTTCAAATTTTTTAATTGCACAATGAATATTTAATTGTAACAGCTTGAGTTCAAAGTAAAGGTGTGCGTGTGTAATTAGGCTGCATAGACTTTTCACATAACACTTTCAGCAGGTAAAATGGAAGTGAACCTTACTGTTTCATTTGCCATTTCATCAGACTATTTTCTGAAATGACATCCGATCAGATAAATTGGCGTTCACGTCTATTAAAACAATCCTTACAGTTTCAGTTAATCACTTTACAGCGTTTTATTTGTTAATTTGCTTTTATTTCAAATGGCAGTAATCCGTTAAGAATATTGCACTGAAATTCACTTGCAACATCATAAATGAGGATTATCAGGTCTTGTTTATGGAATAAGGACCGATAGATTGAAAAGTTTTCATTTGTGTTGAACCAGCTGCACACATTTGTGACCGAGCAACCGGGTATAAATGAAGCTGATTTCAAGCAATGATCTGAGTATTATACCAACGAGTATTACAGCTTGCTTGGTTGAATTTTGGTTCACTTGGTTTTATTATTGCACATTTTTGGTTGGTTGGTTGAATTTTGGTTCACTTGTTTTTATTATTGCATTTCCATTTTTGGTGTTAATTGTTAATGCATACATTCTGTACATTATATTTATAATAATGTTGATATTAATAGGGCTTTGTCAGCATGTGGATTTCTGCAGCAGTCCAATTCCAGTCTTGCATTAGTTGTAAATGGAGTCAAGTCTGAAGGTAAATGAACAAGAGCCAGAATTTCTCTGCTTTTACTGCAGATGATCAGTAGGTTTGCAGTTTCTGCTTTGTTCTTTCTTTTACAAACCTCATCAAACCGTAGGTACAAAAGCCAAATTTGTTGTTTTTTTTCAGGATCTTCCAGCATTGGTCGAAGATGCACCAAGGGCTGGGAGAAACTTGGAACGCAATGCTTTAAGTATTTCAGCGACTTAAAGCCATGGGCTGAAGCAGAGGTAAGTTTGTGTTCTCTGTAATAGATACAGTTGTGGTAAATTTTGCAGTATCTGCACTTTAAAAAAAAAATTTTTTTAATTTATTTTTAAGTACTGACCTTTTACGTAGTCTTCAAGAGAAGATAATTGTTGAGTTTATAAATGCACCAGTTCAAAAGTTTACATATGCTTGATTCCTAATACTGTGGTGTTACCTGGATGATCCACAGCTGTTTTTTGTTTTGTGGTAGTTGTTCATGAGTCCCTTGTTTGGCCTGAACAGTTAAACCGCCCGCTGTTCTTCAGAAAAGGTCCCACAAATTTAGTTTTCCAGCACATTTTGCATATTTGGAACCCTTTCCAACAGTGACCGTATGATTGAGATCCATCTTTTCACACTGAGGACAGCTGAGGGACTTGCATGCAACTTCTACAAAAAGTTCAAACGCTCACTGATGCTCCAGAAGGAAACACGATGCATTAACAGCGTAACTCTTTATCCTCACAGAAACAATGTCTTAACCTCGGAGGAAACCTTGTATCTGTCCACAGTCAACTCGCTCACAATTTCCTAAAAACCCTTGTGAAAAAACATGGTAGTGACAACTCCCGTACCTGGATTGGTGCTCATGATGCAATTAAGGTAGCTGATTTTTCATTTCCCTTCAAATATCAGTCCAACCAGTGTCAGATAAATGTAAATGAACCGTAAGTGTTCAAATTAAATTGTTGGCTTTTGTCAGATATTGCTTGTGCTTTTTCTCATTGTGTAAAGGTGGTTTGCACTGCCCCAACAAACACCAGTAGCAGCTTCACACTAAAAATGATGTTTTATATATTTAAGCACTGCCTACCAGTTAAAGATGAAAGACATGAAATTAGACGCATCAGCACGTGGAAAAGGCCGAGTTTGGTAATGTTCTTTAGGATGATATCTGGTTTTGGAGTGATTGATCAGAATTTGAGTACAGTTACTGGTGAACCAAATAATGGAGGAGGAAAGGAACATTGTGTGGAAATGGGTTCTGGAGGTAATGTATTTGTCCAAGTTTAAGGCTATCTAACTATTTAGTATTGAACATGAACTGTAAAGGTGGTTTCAAATCTTGCACATTTTACTACACTTATATTTATGGATTTCTGTTTGCACTAAAGCATTTGACAGTTCATTTGAATAACGTATCTGAATTTCCACAGGTGAGAAACGCTGGAATGACGCACACTGCGACACTCTTCTCAATTTCATCTGTTGCAGAACAACTAGAAATAACTCCTAATCCTAACTTTGTTAAACCAATATCTCGTTTGTCCATCACTGATTTATATAGTCTCCAAATTGCTGATTGTAACAGACATGCTTTGATTTTGAATTTTAATGCTGATCTTTGCAAAAATAGAAATAAAACTAAACTTCAAATGTTTGTTGCCATGAATCACTTTTATTTTTCTCCAATTATTATGTAAGCTTTAAGGCATAAAGTGGCTGCAGCAGAACTTTAATGAACAATACAAACCCTGATGTTGTAGTAAAGACATCTACCAGGAGAGGGTACTGTTAACCTGCCACTTACTGTCTCCATGACTCAATTGGACAACCTAGATTGACTTTAATAATGTCTCTTTCTACATTGTGCATTGTCCAGCAGTTGCATTGACACTGAGATGTGTTGAGTGAGAGTACCAGGCTGTTCCACTCATGTTTTCCAACTCGGACAGCATTCAAAAGTGCTTCAGTGGTTTGGTTTGACTGGGAAAAATATAGGGCTTTTTGCCAAGACATTGGCAATATGTATGCAATGGCCTAAACGATGTCAAAAGTCTGCATTATAAGAATTTTCCTGCTTTCCATGCATTGAATTTTGAAATACATTTTGCCCTATTTAACGTACACTTTGTATTAAGTTTTTTTTTTTTTTTTTTTTTTTTTTTTTTTTTTTTTTTTTTTTTTTTTTTTTTTTTTTTTTTTTTTTTTTTTTTTTTTTTTTTTTTTTTTTTTTTTTTTTTTTTCGCCCAAACTTTTTATATAGAAATAAAGGGTGCCTAATAGATGAATATTGAATAGTGCCCTCAATTCCTCAAGCTACACAATATTAAAGAAATTCTAATATAAAAAAAAATATATCCAATACAGTCCTTACAAAATATTCCTTAATTCCTAGGGGGTTACTCATGTTTTTGGTGTAAGAGGCAGGCAGAGAAAAAAATGAAGGTAGAGGGAGAGCACAAAGATAGTTTGCTTCAGTTAGTGAATGTGCTTCCTGTTCTGTGATTGGCTGCAGAGCGACAGCCCGTGCCTGGCTCCTCCCTTAGGGCATGCTGGTTTGGGTTAGGGATAGGCGATACCTTTTATTTTTGATCCCATACCGATATTTTCAAGCCCAGTATCGTCGATACAGATACTTCTAAACTAAACTGATCTTTTTAGATTAAAATATAATCCATAATTATACTCTTAATATTAGATTTTAAAGCCATGTTTTTTTTTAACGTTTCATAGGCCTTTTTTGTTTACACTGTCAGAAATCAAATATACTGTACTATAATTGTATTTTAGCCTTTTACTGGGGCAGTAACCTCAAAGGTGCAACTATACCCCTAAAAGGGAGCATATTAGTACCATACAAGTATGCATGCTTTAAGGGTAGATAAGTTACAAAGGTGCACCTTTGAGGGTACCTCATGAAAAATAAACATGGTGTTACATATAGTGCACAGCATAAATGAGTACACCTCCTCTAAAACTTAAATTCAGTAATTACTCTTTACTTAGAAGACACGTTAGGGTTCTTTGGAGATATAATGTTCCAACAAGCCTGCTTGAT